CTCATTCTCAGGAAGGAGGGGAGTCAAAAATACAGTGAGAGGGACCAGCAGTTGGCGTACTGGCTATGTCGCTGGACTCCCATGTAGTCGACTACAGTTCAAGTCCTGGACCCAGTGGCTTAAACTCACGCCGGGCGCATGTGCGTGCATGCCCAAGATCCCGAGAGGAGAATGGAGGAGAAGGGATTGCGGCATGGCCATCCACCCTAGGGGGTGATTTCTTGCTTTCTGTCTCTCTCTGTCTGTCTGGCGAGCACACGTGCCCTATGGCAAAAACCTCTCCAAAAAAAAAAAATGTTCCTTTTTCCAGCTATATATCTGTGCAAGGCTATCCTTTTTGCATGCAGTCTAACCAAAGCAACATTTCATGACAGATTGAATGCATGAGAAATGAAAATTCCACAATCTTCAATTAAACCAGATATTAAATGTAGAATGGTCTTTCCCATTAAACAAGGTGGCAGGTGAAAAAGCTGAGAAGTGGGATACTAAGGAAAAGAAACCTGAAGCCAAGAAAGCTGACGCCAGTGGCAAGGTTAAAAAAAGTGACCCCAAGGCTAAAAAACTCAAGAAAGGGAAGCCCCCTTGCTGAAACCCAGTCCTAGACCAGGGCATCAGCAGTTACTACCAATCTGCCATGTATTCCAGGAAGGCCTATACAAGAAGAAATACTCGGCCACCAAATCCACGATTGAAAAGAAAAAGGAGAAGATTCATGCCACTTTCTCAAAACTAATTAGTGGGGACAAGAATGGTCATTCCTGGGTGGTTAAGCTTCACAAAATGTCTAGGTATAATCTTACAGAAGATGTGCCTCAAAAGCTGCTGAGCCACAGCAAAGAACCCTTCAGTCAGCATGTGAGAGCTGCGAGCCAGCATCACTCCTGGGACCATTCTGATCATCCTCACTGGACGCTACAGAGGCAAGAGGGTGGTTTTCCTGAAGCAGCTGAGCCGTAGCTTGCTACTTGTGACTGAGCCTCTGGTTCTCAATCAAGTTCCACTGCATAGAACACACCAGAAATTTGTCATCACCACCTCCAAGAAAATTGATATTAGCAAGTAAAAATCCCCAGACACCTCACTGATGCTAACTTCAAGAAAAAGAAGCTGTGGCAGCCCAGTCACCAGGAAGATGAGATCTTCGACACAGAGAAGGAGAAATACAAGATTATAGAGCAGTACAAGGTTGATCAGAAAGCTGTGAACTCACAAATTTTACCAAAAATCAAAGCTATTCCTCAGCTCCAGGGCTACCTGTGATCTGTGTTTGACCTTACAAACGGAGTTTATCCTCACAAATTGATGTTCTAAATGTCTTGTCAAGAACCTAATTAAATAACTGAATATTAAAAATATAGAGAGAATGGTACCACTCTTCTCACTAATTTTAAATATTGAGAAAATATAATTTTTATACAAAGAGTTCATATTAACTTGTTGAGGATGTATTATTATTCTTAAATTGACTAACAAATATTTTTTAAATTTCTCCATTTTAATTTCTGATCTAGTAAATACTAATAGATATAACTCATTTAAATAAAAGCTCTTTGGGATCCTCATTCATTTTTGAATACAAAAGAAAGGGTCCTGAAACCAAAACCACTGCCTTGGGGCCAGCAGGCCGTGTGGAGGTTAAGGCACTAGACTCCCATATGGCCAACTGGGTGGTTTGAGGCCTGGACCCAACGGCTTGAAAAATACCAGGTGCATGCATGTGTGTGCCCAAAATCCCAGAAAGAGTGAGAAATGAAGGAGAAGGGACACCAGCATGATTGTCCCCCTAGGGGAGTGCTTTTTCACTTTCTCTCCCCTTTCCCCACAACGATTGCACTGCCCTCTGGCAATTTTTAAAAAATAAATAATAACCCGCTGCCTTGCACTGAGTCCACCTAGCAGGCAGAGTCCAGATGTAATGGAGATATGCTTCTGCAGTCAAACAATGATTCCACAAAAGTAATGATCGTTTTGCATGCCTGCCTCCTCCCTAGTGGTGGAGGAGACACCTACTGCTGGGGGCTATTCATCTTAAATCACCCTCTCACCCACCCCTTGCCCCTCTGGCACGAAGTAGAAATTCCTGACAAATGAATGTGGTAAGACCTAAGTCCATATGGACAGATGGCACAGGCTGTTGAGTGAGTTGCCTACAAAAAACCCACATATGAATAAATACATATTTTTCTCCACTGGCTCAAGCTGTTACTGAGACTTTAACCTGAATTGAGACATAAAATAGAAACATTAAAGAAAACCAGATAACTCAGACAAAAAAATTATCCTAAGGAACAACTCTTTTGTTTCCACTCTACTAATCCTTCAGAGACACCCTTAACAGGAAGTAATTAGTGAAATATGAGGGTACTTCAAGAAATGTGTGAAAAAATGGAATTGAAGTATGAGTTTATTTCGGTGCAAAAATTCTGAAATCTATGCCTTTTGCGCGAACTTTTTGAAGACCTCCTCATATATCATGTTAGTGGGTGTCATAAATACAACCAAAATGATTTGTCACAAAAAAGTGAAGCAGGGGCCAGCAGTTAGTGTAATGGCTATGTCGCTGGACTCCCAGGTAGGTGACCGCGGTTCGAGTCCTGCACCCGGTGGCTTAAACTCACGCCGGGAGCATGTGCGTGCATGCCCAAGATCCCGAGAGGAGAATGGAGGAGAAGGGACTGCAGCATGGCCATCCATCCTGGAGGGTGATTTCTCGCTTTCTATCTCTCTCTGTCTTTCTGGTGAGCAAATGTGCCCTATAGCAAAAACCTCTCCAAAAAAAAAAAGTGAAGCACGGCCTAGGCAATGGCCTGAAGATAAACATTAAAAGCCAAGAAGAGTAAATACATATAAAAACATAAGATGCCATGTCTAAGAAGGAAGAGGAGGTTCTAGGATCAGGGCAAGGATCAGCAATGAGCATGGCTTTTCCATCTCTGTTCCCTGTCAAAGTAAGACCCAAAGCAGATGCACTCGAGAAGCCAGGCCTTGGCTGCAGCGTGTGCCTCACCCAGTCACAATTCTTACGATTCTCACCCAGCCATGTTCATAAGCCAAGCAGCCCTCCAACACATCTGGGAGTGACTGCTTGCTCACTTGGAGTAGACAGGTAGTGGCACCGCAGGTCTGCTCCGGTCCCTGTCACAGGGCAAGCAGACTGCCCTGCCACATGCTCCTCCTTGTCCCTGGCACAATCTCAGCAAAATGAGAAAAGGCAGGTCGGGTGTGGAGTCTGATGCCTTTGGCAGAATAGGCTTCTAGCTCTCATCTCAGAAGACAAGGGCTTGGTGATCTATCACCAGAGCTGAGATTAGCACAGAGGAGGACGCAGTGTGTGTGTGTATGTGTGTGTGTGTGTGTGTGTGTATCACACACACAGAGAGAAAGAGACCTGGAGCCAAGAGAAGGGGTGTGCTTCTGTAGGTTACTGTGTGGTAGTTCTTCCAGAAGGCAGACCCAACACAACTGTGCTGTCATTGCTGGTGACCCAGAAATCGGGCATTTCCAGTTATACATATGCTCATCATTCTGAAGCCTGTTTTCATAAACCCTTTAATCATCATACCAAACATTTCCCAGTCCTTTTCATATTAGCGAAAGTCTCCCATTTAAATCACTATGGAAACGGAGACTCTCAGGAGCTGAACACATCAAAGGTCCAGTATCATTGGGGTCATCATTTCATCAATATCAGTAAAGATTCTGACCTCTCGAAATAGGGCTGTTGGGGGACCAGCAGTTAACGTAATGGCTATGTCACTGGACTCCCACGTAGTCAACCGCGGTTCATGTCCCGGACCCGGTGGCTTAAACTCACGCCAGGCACGTGTGCGTGCCTGCCCAAGATCCCAAGAGAGAATGGACGAGAAGGGATTGCAGCGTAGCCATCCCCCCAGTGGGTGATTTCTTGCTTTCTGTCTCTATGTCTCTGTCTGTCTGGCGAGCGCATGCGCCCTATAGCGAAAACCTCTCCCAAAAAAAAAGAAAGAAAGAAATAGGGCTGTTGGGTTCCTTTGGTCCCTGATTGTCATTTTAAGTGCTAAGGTAGGTTATCAGGTCACTGAGCACTTCCCTCTCTAGCCTCCACAGAGAGTCAAATCCTAATGGTTGGCCAACAAAACACAGACGTGAAATACAGTTTTCGAGCACTGCATGGAATGATTGTTGTAGAGCTATCACTTACTGCACACATTTACAGAGATTGCCTCGTTTACTCTTCAAGATAATGTTCCAGGGTTGACATTAATACTCCCATTTTATAGAGGAGGAAATGGAACCTCAGAAAGGTTCAATTGTTTTCGTACACACATCTGGTCAATGCCAAAGGTAAGACTTGAACCCAGGTCCGTGCCAAAACTCACTCTCTTTCCACTAGCCAACCTTTCTGCCATCTTCACATCAGGCTTATCAGAGCCCATGTTTAGAACCAGCCAATTTATATTTATTCCATGTTTTTTCACGACATTTCCTTCTCTTGGGGAGCATTTTTTTCTTTTGGAAAAAAATATCTGAAGGAAACATGTTTGCTGGATCAAAACAATAACCCTCTGACATTTTCCATTCCTAATATCTTGATTCGGATCATAAAGTCCACACCTCTCTGTTCCCCATGCTGCCGTGAGGGAAAGCATTATTAAAGATTTAGCCACAAAATCCACTAAAACATTTCTCCTAACACCCTTGTCCAGATAAATCCAAAAAGGTCCTTCTCAGATGAAAAATCCTGTCCTACAAACTAGAAAAAAGTCATGGGGCTCAGATTAAATGGCAGGCTTTAAAATAGAAGAGGTTTCATTTTAATTCTGTACAACTGCACCCTAAAGTCTAGATGAAGTCATTCCCAGTGAGATCCCTGGACCCCAGAACTTCCCACAGAAGGCCCAGGGAAATGGGAGCTCCCTGGCTAACGCCCTTCCCTCCCCTTCCAGCCTGGGACCTCCCTCAGGACCTCCCTCAGCCCCCGACACCTGCCCACCTCTGCAGGCAGGCCCTTCACTCACCTAGCAGGGCCGTCTGGGGGTGGGTCCGAGCATGTCTGCCTCTAGAGATGGACCTGGCGTGGTGGGGCCGCTCCCTGGCCTCAGCAGGGAGGAGGACCTGCCCAAGGATCAGCAGAAAGCAGCCCACCAGAATCTTCTCCATTTTCAAGAAAAGGAAGAGGGGCAAATCTGTGAGAAACATAACACGAGAAGGGGCAAGGTGAGATTTCTGGGTCTCCCAGAACTCGATGCTGCAGATTCACCAGCTCTTTTCAAGTTTCAAACATGCCACTTACACTCAAAAATGCCATTTGCGTGCTTGGTCCTTAGCCCCCATGAGTAGGTTCTTCTAGCATAATCCCAGCAGGCGTGCATACTTGGAATTTTTCATCACTTTAGTCATTATAAGATTGACTAAAGGGCCAGCCAGGTGGTGTAGTGGTTAGGGCAGCTTGATCCTACATCGCTGACTCTACTGTCCAAGTCCTGGACCCAGCAATTCGGGAAACACATCAGGCAAGTGTGGGTGCCTGCAAGCCCAGGATCCCAAGAGGAGAATGGAGGAAAAGGGACGCTGGTGTGGCCTTACTCCCTAGGGGTGATTTCTCACTTTCTCTGTGTGTATCTCTGGTGCACACGTGCACCCTATTGCAAACTCAAAAAAAATTGAATGGAGAATCTGAGGGGGAAAAAAATCTATCCTAAAGTTTCTTAACATTTAAGTTTATTATCAATTATTTATAGTCACATTCTATGTCTCAGACTTGAAAAATGAAAAACAGGAGCAAGATGGTGGTGCAGCGGTAAAACATTCAGCTCTTCAAGGCTGATGCATATTGGAAGGGTCCAGGTTCGTGTCCAGGGTCCTTCTTGAATATGCCAGGCATTCACCCACATATGCCCACCATCCACAGCTGGCTGAAGCTAGGGTGGATTTTGGTCAAGACCCTCTTGGGGAGTTGTTTCTTTCTTGCTCATAGAAGAAATAAATAAACTTAAAAAGGAAAAACCACATCTGAGAATTCCAAGTAATAATATTCCTTTAGTCTAATAACAATAGCAGATGGCACAAATTAAGGTACATAAATTTCCCAAGAAATTTATATATATAACTGACATAGAGCTATAAGACAGCATCACAGAGCCAGCCTCCGAAGCTCCCAAGCTCCCTGCCTCCCAGCCTGCATTCTTCGTTTATTAAGAGGGAGTGTGGTGCAATGATTAGCCTTGGCCCTATACTAAACTAAACGTGTGTGTTAGGCACTATTCTACATACTTTACATGTACTCACTCAAATAACTAATATTGTTTCTGTATTCTCAGAAAGCTCCAGAAGGTTAAATAGCCTGTCCAAGGTCATACACAGCAAGTGCCAGAGCCAGGATTCAAACCCAGGGTGAGCAGGCCGATTTGCCAACGCATTACTTAGAAAAAAATTCAATCAACTGAAAAGTCGAACCCCCAGAAGTCAATTCATAAAAGGCTATAGCCATTTCAGAGACATGGACAGGGCACGAGCAGGGCACGGGCAGGGTGGGGGCTGGGTCAGGAACCATTTTCCAAAACTTAAAAAAACTGTTCAGTAATTCAGTGAGCTGTTTGTTCAGCAAATTGCTTTCAGGAATTGACCTGGAGATGAACCTAGGCCTGTCGACTTTCAAAGCCCACAGTTTTTCACACTTGCAGAATTGAGCTAGCTCACTCTTCACTACACTTTAAAATTATATTAAATATAGTGTATGTCTATCCAGCACTTACTGTTGATATGTGCCAGCCTCTGAGCCAAGTGCTTTCAATGTAGCGAGTGACTTAATCCTTACAGGAACTCAGAGACATTAAATAATTTACACAAGGTTATGCAGCTCAAGAGCAGTAACGCTCCTGAACCCCCTTTGTTAACAATTTAAACCCCACACTAAGGGGGCTTTAACACTGAGATTTCTTTGCTAAAAGAAAGAAACATTTTTTAAGGTTTTTGCTATAGGATGCATGCACCAGAGACAGTAACAAGAAAAGTGAGAAGTCGATCCCCAGAGGGGATGGCCAACTAAAATCCCTCCTCCATTCCCCTCCTGGGTTTTGGGCATGCACGTGCACTTGCACGCGCGCGCGCACACACACACACACACACACACACACACACGGTGTGATTTTCAAGCCTCCAGGTCTGAGCCTCAAGCCACAGTCAGCCACTGGGCGTCCAGCACCATAACCAATATGCCACCTGCTGGCCCTGCCTTCTCTAACCTTTTTTTTTTTTTTTTTTTTTTAAAGATTTATTTAATTTGGGGACCAGCAGGTGACATAGTGATTAAGACTATGCCAAATGGCTGACCATAGTTCAAGTCCTGGACCTGGTGACTTATTTTCTCACTTTCCCTCTCTCTCTCTCTGTCTCTGTGTCTCTCTCTGGTGAGTACATGGGCCAGTAGCAAATTCTAAATAATAATAATAATAACAAAGATAAATAAAATATTCTTTTTTTAAAAAAAGAATCAATTTTATTTCTTTCTCTAATCTTAAACATACTATTTTCATCACCCTTGGTATTTATCATCTTATTTTATAAGACACCATAAATGTATTTATCACATCATTTATATGTGATTTAATTGTGTATGTGACTGCTTTTTTTCTTTCTACTTATTTTTTTCTATAGGGTGTAGGGCCAGAGAAAGACAGAAAGAGAGAGGGAAAGTGAAAAAGCACCTTCCAAGAAGGATGACCACACCATAATCCCTTCTCCTCCATTCTCCTCTCAGGATTTTGGGCACACACACACACACACACACACAAGCCCAGCATGTTTTAAGTCCAGGACTCGAATGCTCAGTTGTCCATGTGGGATCCAGCTGTCTTAACCACCACAGCACCGGCTGGCCCTGCTTTTTTGTTTCTTTTTAAACAAGATTTTCCTAAGTCACAATCCTCCTGCCTCAGCCTGCAGAGAAGCTGAGAATTTAGGCACATGCCACCACACCAGCTTTTTAGGGTGGGCTGGGAATCGGACCAGGGTTTCCCATCAGCCTCAGCCAGCCAAGCAACAATACCCAGCATGCACCACCATGACTGAGCCTGATTTATCGTTTTAATACTATCCTTATTCCTCCAAATTGAGCAAGTGCAAAGTCTACGTTTATTTCAAAGTTTACACAACATTTTTTAAAGAATTATTTATTTAATGTGATTTATTAGTACTATTATTTAATTTGACCAGAAAGATATAGAGGGAGAAGGAAAGGGAAAATGAGAAAGTGAGCTGCCAGGTCCAGGACACGAACCATGGCTGGCCATGTGGTAGTCCAGTGCCTCAACCACCGCACCATCTGCCAGCCCATATTCTTAAGGCTCATTTCAATCCTAACACATCTGGACTTAAGTAAAACATTTAAGCCATGATGTGGTAGATAATTATCAATTAAAAAAGAAAAACAAGTATCACTGCATACGGTTTGTGTTTACTGTGTTTTCATTTTCAGTCACTGTTGCTCAGGGCACTGAGGACAGGTGAAGGGAAGGGACTTAAAAAAAATTAAGCACAGGTTGAGTATCTCTAAACTGAAAACCTGAAACCTGAAAAGCTTCAGAATCTGAACATTTGAGCACTAAAATAATGGTACAGGTGGGAAATTTCATACTGTGTTTAGGCCTATATCCCATCTCCTAGATATCGTATGTGTGCAAATATTCCATAATCCAAAAAGTTTCAAAATCCCAAGCACTGCTGGTCCTAAGCATTTCAGATATTCAGATAAGGGATGTTCAACCTGGACTTTTAGCTGTCTATCCTTGAGCAGGTTACTTACCCTTTCTTCACTCAATTTCGTCTTTTTTTTTTTTTTTTTAGGGGGATTTTTTGCTATGGGGCAGGGGGCGTTGCCCAGAGAGATAGAGAGAGGGGAAGTGAGAAATCATCCCCCAGTGGGGATAGCCATGCTGCAATGCCTTCTCTCCTCCATTCTCCTCTTGGGATTTTGGGCATGAACGCACACACGCCCAGCATCAGTTTCAAGTTGCCAGGTCCGGGACGCCAACCACGGTCAGTCATGTGGGAGTCCAGCACCCCAACCACTACACCACAAGTTTACTCATCTTTAAGTTGAAGATAGGACTAGGACAGGCTGTTGCATGAAATATATATACACGTGCAAGACTGGAGGCAGTGGAGGACTGGAGGAAGGGGATTGTGGTAGGAAGAAACCCGTGGAGGATACCCATCTCTCTTTCCTTCTTTCTCCCTTCCTCTCCCTCATGTGCATGTTCACATACTCTATCATGAATAAGAGGGAAAGTAAGAAAAATGGGGACTACCAGGTGATGGGGTGGTTAAGGCTCTGGATTCCACATGGCCAACTGAGTGGTTCAAGCTCTGGACCCAGCAGCTTGATAAACATGGCTGGGACATGCATATGCATGTCCAAAATCCCGAAAGGAGAATGGAGAAGGGATTGCAGCATGGCCATCCTCCCTGGGGGGCGTTTTGTCACTTCCCTCTCTGCCTCTTTTTGGTGAGTGCACGCCTCCTATAACAACAACAGGGGCTGGCAAGTGGCATGGTGGTCAAGGGCGCTTTACTCCCACATGGTCAACCATGGTTCAAGTCCCAGACCTGGAGGCTTGCTTTCTCACCTTCTCTCTCTCTCCCCCTCTCTGGTCCAATTAAAATAAATAAATAAATAAAGTTAAATAAAATATTTTTTTAAAAAAACAGACAAAATGGTGCCTTCACTTTGGAAAATAATTTGTCAGTTTCTCATAAAGTTAAATACACACTTGCTTGGGGCTGGCAGGTGGTGTGGTGGTTAAGGTGGCTAGACTCACATGGTTGACTGTAGTTCAGGTCCTGGACCTGGCAGCTTGTTCTCTCACTTTTCCTCTCACTCTCTGTTTCTCTCTGGTAACGTTAAAAAATAATAATAATAAATAAAATAAAATAATCTTTTTAAAAAGCTAAATATACACTTGCCAAAGGACACCAGTAGTCCCCATTCACCCAGGGCTACCCATTCTTTAGCACTAAATGCCCTGCATCCTGGGAAATCCTTTAGCCCTGGGCAAGCTGGATATTTTGTGCCCTACCCATGATTCTGATCCTAGGCATTTACCCAAAAGAAGGACAACACATCCACATAAAATCTTGTACTCAGACTTGTACTTGTGTTTGCAAAAGTTAAAATCTAGAAACA